GGGAAGGGATAAAGCACCTCCCCATGGAGCATGGTCACACTGCAATCCCTTCTCCGTTCTCTATTCCATTGGGATTTGGGCACCCACACACACACCAGTTTTTCCAGCCAAGGTTGGCATTTGAACTGCAGTCAACGATGTAGGATTCAGCTCCCTTTTGTACCAGGCCACAGGATGGCCTGATATTCTAGTTCTGAACCTCAGTCATGGCTGGCAACCTGCACCCCTTTAGCCCCTAATCAACTCCAAGCTGTGGCCACACCTCTCAGGGCTCTGCCCTGACCTGGAGTCACCTCTGACCAAATGGCCAGGACCAGGTGGGCTGTTCTGGCAGGTGAGGGCAGGGTGGGGAGGGAAGGGCAGAGAGTGGTTTCCTGGAGAGTGAGGTCACGGCTTAGCCTTGCTGCTGTCTGTCCTTTCCTGTGACCTCCTCCCCTGACCCCCGCCCCGGCCCTGTCACAGCATCCTGTCCCTGGTCCCCTGACCTGGCACTTCTTCTCCTGGAGCTTTTGCCTGGAGGACCGGAAGTGCATGGAAGTATGCTCTGACCTGTAGATGTCACCCACTTTATGAACACCACTTTATACTTTACTCTCTTTCGAAGGGGTTGGGCTACCTATGCCCATTTCTCTCACTTCTGAGGCTCTCTATCTTGTCTGCAGCTGCTCCCGACAGAAAGCCCCATCTATGATTCTCATTCAAGGAACATTTCGGCACACGGTACCGCTCTCGGGACTGGGGACCGGCTCTGCCTTAAGCACTCAGTGTGGCCCAGCTCACTGGGCACATGTCCCGTTCAGGAATAGCTCGGAGAAGTAATCCAGGAAGCTAACTCGCAAAATGATCAAACGGAAGTGCAGGCCGGAAGCACAGAGTACACCTGGTTTTGGTCTCTCACTTGGTTCTGCCTCAGCAAGCCCTTTCCCAATTCTGTTCAAAGGCTGGGACTTGTGCTCCTTGGTCCTCTCCGGAGAGTTTCATCCCGGAAGATTCCCTTATCCCCGACCTTCCCCTGCATACACGACTGCACTGCTCACGCTTCTCCTGTGACTGTGTTCATTCTAGATGCCAGGGAAGACCAATGCGCGGTGTGAGCCTTCCCGCTGGGAGCTGTTTCCTTCTTTCTTTTCTGTCAAACTGGTGAAGTGCTAGGACATTTCATCAGGAAATTGCTATACAACAATCTGTCATGTGAGCTACTGTCACATCTGTGGTTCTCACACTATGAACAAAACACAGGGAGATTTAAGTCTGAAAGTCGCAGACATGGAAAGGGATTCGGACTGGCTTTTAGCCCCCACCAGTAATGGTCTTCCAATCTCAAACAACACAAGGGACCATGGCATGGGCCCTGACACTGATGGGGCAGTGCTGCTGGGTAGGGCACATGGTTTCCTGTCCCCCTGCCCACGCTGCATCCTAGCTGCCTCCTCTCATCACCACCTCCTCCAGGAAGACTGACCACTACTTCTTGGTTCTGTTTTCTCTCCCTTCCTCACCACCCACCACACCCTGGGAACAGTCAACCTCTCTGTGTCTCACAAAGACTTGTGACCTGTGCGTCGTGGCCAGCATCCGGCTCTGGGCCCAAAGTGCCTGAGCTCAAATCCCGTCTACTGCTGACTGCCGTGGAGCCTTGAGTGCCTTACCTAGCCTCCTGTGCCTCAGTTTCCTCATCGCTGACTGGAGAACGACCTGCGTCATGTGACCAATGTGGAAAAGGAGCAGAAACGTGATAGGAGGGACTGTGAAACGTTCGTGGGAAAATGGAGTTGAAGTGTGAGTTTATTTTGGTACAAAAGTGTTTTTGGAAATCCATGCATCATTTTTGCCAATACACATTTTCCATGAAAACCCATTGGGTAGCCCTTACTCTGTCGTGCTAGGAACTGCTATAATTGCTTTACACGTATTATTAATGCATGCACATGATTCTTGGTGCTGGGCACATGGTAAGCAAACAAGAAGTGTTAGCCACCAATGGGCAAAAGTGAGTTTTGCTCATAATGAGTGTTTATGAGCAAAATCTCTCAACGCAAGTGCAAACCCAGAAGGAAAAATGATCTTAACATTCAGAAAAATGGTAGGAAGGAAAGATGATCTCATGGAGGCTTTTGAAATGCTGCATTATCTGAGGGCAGGTCCTGGGCACACACTGAGCAAAAAACTGAGTGCAAATGGAAGCAAACTAAACCAAATGCCTAAATTCTTTCCTTCTTAAAAGAGCTTTTTGCCTTAGGACATGTGTGCTCACTAAGAGAGAGAGAGACAGAGACAGAGACAGAAGGAAAGTGAGAAATCACCCTCCATGGGGGATGGCCACACCGTAATCCCTTCTCTTCCATTCTCCTCCCAGGATCTTGGGCATGCATGCACACATGCCCAGCGTGAGTTTAAAGTCACCAGGTCTGAGACTCAAACCGCGGTCAGCCACATTAGAGTCCAGTGATGTAACTGTTATGCCATCTGCTGGTCCCCTAATTCCTAAATTCTGACCCAAACCCCTGGTACTAGAAAGATGACAGGGATGGCCACCCTGGACTCTGCAGCAGGGCCTGCTTTAAGCTCTGCTCTGCCTCTCGGTGCTGGGCCATTGGGTTTCCTCAGTTGAAAGTGGAAGCAACAGAGGGGAGACTCCCAGACAGACTCCTCTGCTCGACATGCTGGTGGGCCATGGGGGGGAGTCTCCATCCTCAACAGCCCCTGTCCACCTACTTGCAAGAGAAGATGCTTGAAAAACTAAATCACGAAAGCTAGAGGTAAGCTGAAGTTAAATTTGGGGACTGCCTACCCCAGACTCACCTCCACTGGGGAACTGAAGGGCTGACATGCTGTTAGTGTTGGAGCACGGGTGTGTATATACAGACACTTCATCCAAACAGGTCTAGGTAATTTGGAGTTAGGGTCATTTCTGGCCCTTCCGGAGTTAGAGAATAATTTATATGGGTGGTCCCAGAACACGCCGTAATTTCAAGCCGGGAGAACTCTGATCTTATTCTGTAACTCTCCTGCCATGTGTAGCAGCTGGGACATCAGATAATTACAGGAGCACCAAGCAGGACAGCGCGGATCCTGTTTACCCGAACAGCGCAGGGCTCCCATCTCTCATTTCCAGGCCGTTAGGCAGGCGAGGCTGGGCCACCTTCAATCAGCGCCTATTGCTACCCACTTCTTTCCATCCATTTCAAAGACAAGCTCCCTCCAAAGAGCTATTCCTGCCCCTCTTATTTCTTTTCTCATCCTCAGATCAGCCCGCCCTCATCAGCTTGTCTCCTTGGGGCTGATCTGAGGATGAGAAAAGAAATAAGAGGGGCAGGAACAGCTCTGTATTTATGGCTTCAGCCTTCTGACTATCCTCCTGGCTTTGGACACACAGCAGCACCCTCTGTGTCTTAGGGCCGAGAACGATCCTCTCCTGACAGCTATCCAGAGGACAGAGGCGCTCACCAGCATGATGCACCTGGTTACAAAACGTGAACCGTGCGACAGCGTAGGTTCGGTTACTGTGTAATGGCAAGGCATCTGCCTAGCAACGTCAACGTTTCTCTCAGGGCGTACGGTGGTGCGCGGTTAAATGCAACACTCTGTAAGGCTGACCCATGTGGGAAGGTTCGAGGCTCATATCCAGAGACCTCCCTGAGTTCGCTGGGCGCGTGTACCCACGATCTGGGACTGGCTGCAGCTGGGGGTTGATCATGCCATTGAGACTCTGTTGGGGTGCTTGCCTCTCTATGTCTGTCTCACTTGCTCATGGGAGAAATAAATAAGTAAACTTTAAGAAATGCTTCTCTGGGCTACAATATGGTGACCACTGAGAAAAAGGGAGGTAGCAACTTGATCTCCACACATCAACTGCAGAAACGAAGGGACAGGGGTAGCTTCTAAGGAAAAGATAATCCCAGTTGATGTGGGATCCTGGCCATCAACGGGCCGGGCTCATCACAAGGCTGATGGGAGCTGCCAATGGGTGAGGTCGCACTGCTCCTTGGACAGGTGCAGTGAAGGGAAGGGAAGCACAGTCTTCAGGGTCACCCTGGCCCAGGATTTCCCACAGGTGGCCCGGGACACGCTGTCAGCCTCCTGTCACACGGACTGGCAGCCAGCGGTAGGGAGTGGCAGGGGAAGGGGTCTGGCTGGGCTTGTCGGGAGGAGAGGGGAGAGGACCGTGTGCCCATTAGTCACAGGTGCAACTCCCGGTAGAGCTGCCATGCCAGGCGTGGCAGGAAATGAGAGGTGTCCAATGCCTGAGGGACCCTCGGCAGGGGTTTCTCTATGAGCCACATACGGGTCTTGGTCCGGTCACTTCATCCTAGTCAGGGATTGTAAGGTTTATGCAGAGAACAGGAAGAGAAAGAACAGGAAGATAGGGAAGGTGGGGGGAGGGACAACTGTCAGGACCTATGGGATGCACCACAGCCACTCCAGCTCCAAGCCTCTGCTGCACCCCTGGACAGCAGAGCTGACCTGTCCTCCAGCTGCCCCGACTTCTCTTGCTCTCCAAAGCCTTCTAAGACACTGGTCCAACAATGTCTTCCCAAAGTATTCCAACTCCAGGAAGCGTCTCTGCATCCAACAACTTACCACTATCGAGGATCACAACGTGCAATTTCAGACCTGTCCCCAGTGGACCCCAAATCATTCTGAGCCATCTGTTGCTCATTCCTCCATCAGCTGTCGGTTGGCCCCAGACGTCTATCAGCCTCTGCCGAGGCTCTGAGCTCTCGTCACCGTGCTGTAAGTCTCTTGTCCATCCATGGCCTTAGTTCTGACCAGGGATAAAACCTGTGCCCATGACCCCCCTACCTACTCCAGGTCTGGCTTGCTGAGATCATGGTCCCTTGCCCATTCCAGGATGACACGTGCCTGCCCAGGGACCTTGACCCTGGCCTGGTCCTTCACGCTCCGTGTACCCACTTCTCAAACACAGCCCCTGCATACCTCCCCTCCGACACGAGATCTGAATAGTTCTCAAGGCCAAGGTCATCAGAGCAGAAACTCACCGGTAAATGCCCAAGGAGAGGCGTGATACTGTCAGAGACATAGATGATACTGCCATCGGTTGTCACTGCGATAATGAAGCCATCTAGTGCCTGTGGAAAATGCAACATCCAAAGCTCCTTAGTAAGGTTTTCATGGGGGAGCATGTCACCAACCCAAGGACTCCACTTCATGACACTGGCTTTGTTCTGTAATCCTCCCAATATTTCTGAGTAGCCTCAGAGAACCTTTCCTCCTGTCGCACAAGGCGGTTTCTTACATGGAATCTGTCTAGCCTGGGAAGAGCACTTGCAGAAGCACTAACGACTGCGAGACTTGATCTCCTGATATCCTAAAATTAAATTTAGTCATGGAAACTACTTAAGGAGCTTTAATAACAAGCCACTAAGGGGCTGAATCACAAACACCACCATTGCCATTAAAAGGCACCAGAATGCGTTACGGTCCCCTCCACCCCCAGGATCACCTGGAGCCCAGCAGTCGGCATTCACTAATAGATACTGATTTTAACAGAGGCGTTGGAAACCGGGGGCCTGTTGGCCACGGTCGCACAGGAGAAATCCCTACGGAAGGAGCCATTCGTAAAGAACGCTCATATTATTCAACAGGGCTGGGTGCGGGAATGTGTAACTCAACTGAACCCATGAGCATTTCAGAATGTCTAAAAACATGCACTCGTTTCAAAGAACCTGCCTAGTGACTACTGCGGGCCAGGCACACTGTCTGGGGGCTGGGAATATAAGAGGTTGACCGTGGGCAATGTTTTCTCATTAAGCAGACGCTTGGCAGTTATGGTTTTTAGGATCTTTACTGAGGTGTATTTTAATACGGCTGCTTCCAGAAGACACATCTGAAAGCTGATTTCTAAAATTTGGACTACGTGATTCAACAGGGAAGGGGGTCTTACTGGCGACAGTTGTCCAGGGCACACCAGTGAGATGGGAGAGGTTAACAACGAAGCTCGCCCTGCTCGAGGACAAATCTCTGAGGGGCTAATACGTTCAGGTGAACTTTGACTATAAACCTGTCCCGATGGCTTTACTGACTCCATCTTTGAAATACTCTCTTCCCCAGGGCTAGGGATTCTCCTGCTTTAGGGGGAAAAGAGTGAATTACAGGCTTTAGAAAACCATGGGAAGATTCTTGAGGCATTCAATTTGTGCCTCCCACGGCATAACTGAGAATCTGAATGGCCGAAGGGACATAAATTATTTCAAGTTAGGAGCGTGTGGCTAAGTGCACCCTCGGGAGGAGCCGGAAATGGGCCACTTACAAAGGAGGCAAAATGAGAGAGAGTTCTTTTCACCAGGGAAATCAACACGAGGCTCGTTCACTATTTGACTGATGTGTGATAGGATTGAAGACTGAAAAACGAACTAAAGCACATTTCTTAAATAAACCTCATCCTCTTGGTTTACACCAGTGGTTATTGACTGGGTGCAATTTTGCCCCCCAAGGGGACACCTGGCAGCATCTGGAGTCAGTTTTCGTCCCCATGACTGGAGTGCACGATGCCGGCATTTAGTGGAATGAGCCAGTTTTACTGCAAAACATCCGGCAATGCACAGGGCACCCTAGGACAAAGAATGATCAGGTCCAACATGTCAATAGTGGGAGGTTAGAAACTGTGGGTTAGATTTACGGGTGGTGGGGAACAGAGAAGTACACCCTGGTACCTTTTATTCCCACCCCTCAAGTCTTTTTCCAAATTGTTTCTTAAATGATCTTTGCAGCACTCCTAGGAGGTGAATTATTTTAAAAGGTAGGAGCACTGTTAGTGATGTCAGCTGGATCTTTCTGGAAAAAGCAATTTGGAAGGCTGGAAAGGCAGGCATGGTACAAACAGTCCTCTTGCACTGTGAGCCCAGGTCTCCCTAGAATTTGTAAAGGAAGTGGGTGTTAAAAAGCTAGAAGTATTTATAGGTAGAAAGTAACTTTCATCGGCTCATTGGCATTTTCCATCAAATGTACGAGAAAGGCACTGAGTCATTGCTCTAAGAACGCTTGCTATGGTTTTGGAAATCCCATCAAGTACTTCAGAGGGATTCAATCGCGAGTGATGTGTCCCTACCCACACCAGTGGGATTTCCACTTCATTTTCTAGAAACTTCAGTCCCCTGACTCTTAGCCCTTTTCTCTTGGGTCATCAGAAAAGTCATGATGCATTTTTATGTAGGAAAACACGTCACGACTTTTCCATGACCAAATAGCTCCTGAATGGATCCCTTTTTAACTGCAAGGAACCTTGTTTCTTCAAATACTTTCGATACTTTGAAACTCACTGCAAAGGCAAAAAAAAAAGAAGAAGATTTTGCTACAGGCTCTTAAAAAGAGGCTGATGCTACAGGGTTATGTGTTTGAACTACTTTGCCATAAGAATGAAAAGATAAATCGATGTATGTAAAGTAACATAATGATGCATTAATTCAACATTATCCTTCACAAGCTGTTTTAAATTTAACATAGTTAAAATGCATTGCTTTTCTGCAGAAAGTTCTGTATTTTCTTTAAATATAGTTCACATGTAGATTTAAGTATCTTTCATTTTATGCAAATGTTCATGATTGCATTTTCACTTCATAATATTTGGACATCTACATTCTGGCATTTTCTTACTCCAGCTCGTTCTGTTTTCTGCATAGCTGATCTATGTAAATTAAAGTTTACATCAGTCTTATATAGGCACGTAAGACAAGATATAGAAAGATTTACCCTAAGAAGTCACGCTTCAAAGCCCTGCCAGGAATACCAGGACATGACCAGCGTCTAACTTCCTTTTTCTGAATTGGTCTGTCCTTGCTCTTCTATTCTCTGTCGAGGGCTTAGACACGTCGTGTCAGGGGCTTTCTCTGTTCCCATCATCATTTCCATATGCTCCCAGTCTCATCCCCAGAGTAGAAGTCAGAGCCCCCTGCCAGATGATTCTGCAAACTTCTCAAATGTACCAAGGAGGTCCAGCCATATATACAGGTACACAATATTGAGAAAGGCCACTGACTCAGTGTTCCCAAATACAGCCCCACCAACGAACACAGTGCTTGCTCCAGAGGAAGGAACGTGAGTCTCTGGCAGCACAAAGGGCTGTGGCCTGGGCAGGGAGACACAGCCACCTGGGGTTGATACTCACATGCCATGTTGATATAACACCAGCTCAAGTTAAAAGCATAACTTCAAAAAAAAAAAAAAAGGTTTATGTTTTCAGAAAGAGTTCTGCTATAGGGTGCATGTGCTTGCCAGAAACACAGAGAGAGACATAGAGAGAAAAAGTGAGAAATCGCCCCCTAGGGAGGATGGCCACACTGCAATCCCTTCTCCTCCATTCTTCTATCAGGATTTTGGGCATGCATGCAGATGCATGGTGTGAGTTTCAAGCCATCCAGTTGGGACTCAAACCACAGTCTGCCATGTGGGAATCCAGTGCCCTAGCCACTACACCACCTGCTGGCCTCTGGAAGACTTCCATTTTTTAAATGTGTTTCTACTAAGAGAAAAATGTCACATTTTAAGGAAGAGACTCTGAACCAAATGAAAGGGCAGGCTGATGAAATTTTCCCACCCTCCTTCCCCTCATTCTACCCACCTCCAACACTGCCCCTTCCTAGCACCCCTATGAGGTGTCTTTTGGCTGGGAGATTATTAGGTCATTCTAGGCCAGCATGTGACCACATTTGTTTTGGGGACTTTGGCTTATATCATCCAACTCAATAGCCAAAATACAAGCAGTAGAGGGCAGACCCCACAAGGGTATGTCTCAAGACCTCTTTCCAGGATCAAGACCACGTGTTTCCGTCAGACAGAGGGTCGTATGTGGAACAAGCAGGGACACTGTAACTTGCAACTGATTAAGCTAACTTGAAAGTGCGTTCACCTCCAACATCAGCTGAGTGAATTCTTCATTGCTGAGGAATGAGGGCTTCCAGTCTTGCTGAATGTCACAGATTTCCGTTTGCGCTGAGACCTCTGAAATAACAACACACAAACAAGCTTGGTATTATTTATTTATTTATATTGTTTAAAAGAATTTATTTAATTTTATGCTTCATTATTATTATTTTAACTTGCTACAGGGCATATACACTCAAGAGAGAGAAAGAGAAGGCAAGAAAGCAAGCCACCAGGACTGGGACTCAAACCGTGGTCAACCACATGGAAGTCCAGCACCTTAATCACCATGCCAAATGAATTTTGATATTCAATGACATTTAGAAATTGAAATGAATGAATGAAGCCCACCTCATTTCTGTATAATTCTGTGTAAGCTCTGTGGAGTTGAAGGAAAGAAACCATTTCAAGGAAATGCCCTAGCCTGATTTCAGAGAACAGGAACTTTGGGTAAAAGGGGTGTGAAAGCACTGTTGATGTTCTCACACCCCTTCAGTGAGGACCTGAGGAGAAGACCCCATTCTGTCTGGGCGTACTGCCTGTCACCTGCCCATACATTTCTACACGGCAAAGCCTCACTGTCGGCAGTCGGAATTAGGGAGGACGCCGGGGATGGTGGGACACCCTCTAACGCTGCTTCTTCATGGTCAGGCTGATGCAAAACACTTCAGAGACCTGGAGTCGTCAAAGTTCCAGAAAATCTTAGGTTTTTGGTATATAACCCATGCACTATGCAGAGTGTGGCGTATTTTCCAGCATTTTTATTACTGAAGTGTCCTGTATTACACATGTCTCTGGCTTGCTTGTAAGGCTAGAACTCAGTCTTCTCAAAACATTTTTGGACCAATCAATAGTTTACCTGATTCATATAACTACTGAAGATGTCTTCCCGTTTGTAAATTCAGATAATCACGGGTCTATCCAGCCTTCTTTGAATATGTTAGTTTTTTGCATTTTTGAAAGAATGCTTTGCTCTCTCATCAATTGTTTCTGATATGATAATTACAGTCAGCACAAATGCAGTATCAGATATATCTGTGTTTTCCTCAGTTTATCCTTCATCTGAAACCATTTTGTTCTACTCTATGTAGTAAGAAATTTTTTTTTCTTTTTTCAGAGTTTCTTTTCTGGTGCTAGGAAAACTGTAAGAACAAATAATTTCTTTAGTACCTCATTACCTCAGACAATAAAACTAACCTCTTTTTTGACACATTTTTTTGCCATAGAGCATGTGTGGTCGCTGGAGAGGGGAGAGACAGGGAGAGACAGTGAGAGGGGAAGTGAGAATTCGCGCATCATGAGGGATGGCCATGCCCTTTTCATCCTGGGATTTTGGGCAGGCATGTATGCACACCCCATGTAGTTTTCAAGCTGCCATGTCCAGAGCTCAAATCATGGTCAGCTACGCGGAAGTTCATCGCTTTAACCACCATGCCACCTGCTGGCCCCGAAACTAACCTTTCTCACAAAATGTAAAATGGAAATTGTGCAGGCAGATAATCTGTCAATTCTAAACTAGGGGGAAGATTTCCAGACTTTCTCCTTTGCACCTGTGTTTCGGTAATCTCGTATGCAGACTGTGGGGAATACATCCTGCCATCCGAATGAATGAATTTCAGTGAATTCAGTGGTTACTCGTGAACAAAGAGGATGTGAAGGGCTGGATTCCACATGTGACTCCGTAAGCTCTCACTCGTTCCTACACCCGATGCTCCTGGCAACAGACAGCTCTCCTGGGATGGTTTCTTCCTTTGGGAAGTCAGAAAGAACAAGCTGCTGCTATTGTTACACAAAATTGGATTTTTGTCTTTTGAGACTTTAAAGGAGCACAGAAGAGCTGCTAAGAGCCTTAGGTAAATGAACACAAGAAGAAACCCAGGAGAGGAAACCCGTGGGCAGCCAGGCGAGCAGCAGCACCGAGGGGGCCCTGAGGGATGAGGGCCTGTGTGAGTGCCTCACAGTGCTGGGTGCTGTGATGCAGTGGGGAAGTGCATTATGGGAAGCAGAGACAGGGTGTCTCACACTGATCTTTCCAGACTTCTTCCTGGGGTGCAGCGAGGCAAGGAAGACAGGGTGAAACTCCTAGTTCTTCACACAAAGGCTTGTCACAGTTGACCACTCAGAAAAGAGATGGATCAAAGTTAACCCCATGAGTAGCCGTCCTCATCTCCCAACCACACGTTCATCTTTAAAACTCATTGGATCACAACGAACACACTGCAGGTTAACTGTCTGTCCAGGAGAAGACTCTAGTGGCCCAAATTTTATATAGATAGAGGCCTGTTCAACTTAATGCCAAAGGAAAATGGAAGACCCATTTCTTTTCCATAAGTGCGTTCTAGATCATTCAGCATGGCTAGATATCTTTTCGACACCAGCACAATAATACGAAAAGTAGCCATTTCACTTCTTTTTTATTTCAATAATTTTACTACAGTCCGTGAAGGTTAAGGTTCGATTCACAGCATGTTGTAAAATATGTTAAGATGTCTCAATGCTAAGTTTGTTGGGCACTAAAATTCAGTGTTACCATCGTGCCTCTACTGGTATTCGATGTGATCAACATCATAAGGACCAACAAAGAGGTACATTTAAAGTCATTTCCAAATTGCAAAGGAAGTAAGACCATCTGAGAGTCATTTCTGCAGGGAAACATTGTCCTAACTGCCAACCCCCTAATCCTACGTTGGTTTAATAGGTATTTGCGCCCTAGAGCACTCGCCGCCCACTTGTTCCATGCCTGAACAAGCACAGAATACCTCTGGAATGTATGTGGTCAAAGAAGTCTGGAAAACTGAATAAAAGCTACTGCTGGCATGGGTATTACCCTATGCAAGAGGGACATTTCTCCTTGTTCTGCAGCCTCCCCTACCCCACCCTGTTCCCCTTCACAAAGGCAAATATATGGATGAGGCAGGGATGAGGACTGGGATCTAATGTTGGGAGATTATGGCATTCCATCAGCTCAAGACTCACACATGTAGACGATCCCACAGGTGGAGGCCAGTCTGGCCTGATTGTACTACTATTTAGAAGGATGTGGACAACGATGTCTTGCTATCACATAGTTTACATACTTTTTTTTTCATATAATAGGTACTATTGATACAAAATTTTATCAAAGAAACAAGGCCAAATTCTCATTTTAATTTGGATTACTTCCAAGAAAACGAATGTGTATACCGGGATCAAGATCTATCTTCCAAGCTGAGAATAGAAGAATGCTTGAAAGATAGTTGAAGAAAGAACTAAATAGTCCTAGTGAAATAATCCTAACAAGCCTGTGTGGACCTAATCATCTTTTCTTACTTACACACTGTGTCCCTTTAGCACGAAGGCAGAAGGCAGATCCGTGCCTATAGTTCTTAACCCTGACTGCCCTCTACGATCACCTTGGGAGCTGTAAGAATACTGAGGGCTAGCCACTCCTGGTGGCATAGTAACACAATGCTCCATGGGATGGAGACCATATGGGAAGACCTGAGTTCAAGGCCCATGGCCTCCCTTTACATGTTGGGCATGAGCACGCCCATGTTCAGGCTGGCTGAGGCTGGGGTGATCATGGCATAAAGATCTTGGTGGTGGTGCCTCTCTCAGAAAAAATGAACTTAACAAAAAATACTGACGGCTGTGTCTCACTCATCGGCTGGTCAAAAGCTCTCCATCTCCAAACAAAAAGCCCTGGTCTGCAGTGTTTGCCCATTTCTGTGACGTAAATACTCATGACTCAAACCATAGCTGATTTTGAGCTACCGACTTGATGTCAAGTGGCTTGCAAAACTCCTGGAAATGGGGGACCAGCAGTTAGCGTAATGGCTATGTTGCTGGACTCCCATGCAGTTGACCGCGGTTCACGTCCCGGACCCAGTGGCTTAAACTCACACCCAGCGTGTGTGCGTGTGTGCCCAAGATCCCGAGAGAAGAATGGAGGAGAAGGGATTGTGGCGTGGCCATCCCCCCTGGGGGTGATTTCTCGCTTTCTGTCTCTCTGTCTCTCTCTGTCTGTCTGGCAAATGCACACGCCCTATAGCAAAAATCTCTTCAAAAGAAAAAAAAAAACACTCCTGGAAATGTAACAACCGTCACTTGTACACTGGTATGAGATGGCTCCAGTATCTCACTGGGATCCCACCTCCGAGAATTCTGACGCACTAGTCTATAGGAAGTGACCCAGTAATAGGCACTTTAAGAACTTATCAGACTGAGAACAAATAGTCTAAACGGATGCACTGATGACAAGCTGTAGTGTGGCCATGATAGAAGTATCTGTAAGAGCTCATCAGTGTCCTGTTCTGGAGAAACAGGATGGGGCAGTGTTAAAGTCTTGGGCCTAGGGACAGACCACTGGGTTGAGATTCTGTGTCTTCCTGGTTGTCTGACTTGGGGGAATGGCTTAACTTGTGTGCTCAGTTGCCTCGTTTGCACAATGGTATGAACTCAAAATGCTGCCGAGGCTCAGAAGAGTTACTATTCGTAGACAGGGAGCCCTGAGTAAATGCTGCACCACTGTTATTTTCTGCCCTGGTGCAGATCCTGTGGTGGAGTCCACTTCCATTTGGATTATCACTAAAAGAAAGAGATAGCTTTTGGTTTTTGCCATAATGTAAATATCAGGGCAACCACTCCATTTCTGCATACAGTTTGCTGTGGTTGCCTCTCTTAACGATGGATAACACAGAATGAATGTGATCCTGGCTACGTCTCAGTGATCTGTGAGGGGCAAGCCTCTATCTTAGGGAAAAGGCGAGGCCAGGCAGGCACTCCCCTGGTGTCAGGAGGCTGCATTTCTGCTGACTAATCCTTTCCAGGTCCTAGATTTGACAATTCTGTAATTCCATGGTGGACAGAGCCCTGCATAAATGTCACACCGATGAACTTGATCCCAGCTGTCCTATTTAACAGCTGTCCTGCTTCTCAGTGGCACTGACCTAGTTTGAGTAATTTGCACAGGATGTCTCGGCAATCAAACCAACCTGCTATTTAACTTGAGTAAATGATTATTTAGGAAATCTAACCATTCTGATTAAATTATTGAGGCAATTGAATATGGCTGCAACATTTAGTCTTCCCTGACTTGGAACAAAAGTTACTAACATGTTCCCTCCTCTCCCTTGGGCAGCTTTGGAATAAAAGGTGACATATCATTACTGTCACATTTTTAACAGGTATATACAATTTTCAAAGGAATAATGGAAGCCTAACAAGCATAATGAAACTCCCCGATGTCCCCACTGTGCCTTCCCCTGTGAAATCTTGTCTAGGAAATTGTTCTGGAAAAGAGAAGCATCACCCTCAGCACAGAAGAACTGTAATTATTTCCTCAAAAGTTCTGGTATTTCTGTTTTTATTATGTTTGGTGTCATGGTTAAGGAAAAAGAATTCTGCTCTTGCTGTTGTTAATAGTTCCTGAACCTCTTAACTATTCTCTGATTTTTTTTTAATAACTATCAAAAGTGAGTGATAGGTAGGTGTGATTAGTGCTACGAGGTAAAACGTCTGAAGGTGAGTAAAAAGGAGACATAATGATTTGAGAAAGACAAGAGTTAAGGAGAGATTCAAGAGGTAAATTTGTACGATGGAATACTAAATACTAATGAAAATGAACAAGCCACAGTACTGGAACAATATGGATGAATCTTATAAACATCACATGTGTAATGTATGACCCCATATGAATAAGATTCCAAAGGGGGAAAAAAAAGTTCTTTGGCATTAGAAGCCAGAGTAGAGGTTACCGTTAAGAAAAGCTGAGATAGATGGAAGGGGCATCTACTGGGAAGCTCCTTTTTCTTGACCTGGGTGCTGGTTTCCAATTGTGCTCATTTTATGATTGCTAATTCAACCGTGCAGTTATGATTCATGTGTTTTCTAAATATGTATTATACTTTTATGAAGTAGTTAAATGTTAAAAAGAAGAATGGAATGTTAGGATAACTGGCAATCCACATGCAGAGAGATAAATTTTTACTCCCTACCTCACACCGTATACAGAAACTAACTCAGATCAAATACCTAAAGGTTAACCTATAACTTACACCTAACTGCTTAATCTACAGCTTAAAACTGCAAACTCTTGGGACCAGCAGTTAGCGTAATGGCTATGTCGCTGGACTCCTGTAGTTGACCATGGTTTGAGTCCCAGATCCAGTGGCTTAAACTCACACTGGGAGTGTGGGTGTGTGCGTGCCTGCCCAAGGTCCCAAGAGGAGAATGGAGGAGAAGGGATTGTGGCATGGCTGTCCCCCCCCCGGGGGGGGGGTGATTTCTCACTTTCTGTCTCTCTCTTTCTGGCGAGCGCAGGTGCCCTATAGCAAAAACCTCAAAAAAATAAAAGGTAAAACCCCACTGCAAACTCTTATTAGAAGAAAATAGATAGAAACTTCATAATCTTAGAGTACACACTGGTTTCTTAGATATGATACCTAAACCAGAAGCAACTGAAGGAAAAAAATACATAAATTAGACTTCATCAAAAGTAAACACTTTTGAGAGGCTGAAGCAATGCAGAGGAGACAGGAGTGACTTGAGAGTGCAGGATCCACCACGAGCCTCCCAACAAGCCCAAGAATGAGATGACTCCAGAGGAGCTGCAGAAGCAGGAGGAGGAGGAGGAGGAGGAATTTAACACGGGTCCACTCTCTGTGCTCATGCAGTCAGTCAAGAACAACACCCAAGTACTCCTTCACTGCTGCAACAAGAAACTTTGGGGCCGCATGAAGGCCTTTGATAGGCACTGCAACATGGTGCTAGAGAATATGAAGGAAACTGAGGTCTCCAAGAATGGCAAGGGCAAGAAGAAGTTCAAGCCAGTCAACAAGGACTGCTACATCTCCAAGATGTTTCTGCCTAGGGACTCGGTCACTGTGGTCCTGTGGAATCCATTCATTGCTGGTAAATAGAGCCTCTTCCCCACTGTCAGAATTCACTCCCCTGTCCTGCTACGACCTGTCCTTTGTGATGGGAATAATAAAATCCTGTGTTTTCCAAAGAAAAAAAAAAAGCAAAAACTTTTATATGTCAAAGGACATCATCAGAAACTGAAAAGATAAATCATAGGAAAGAGGAAAATGTTTACAATGATCTATCTGATAAGGTCTCATATCTAGAATATGTGAAGAAGTTTTACAATTCAATAATAAAGAGAAATATAAATACAATTTTAAAATGGGCCATGAATTTAAATAAACGTTTCTCTAAAGATACATAAACAGTAAACAAGCACATGAAAAGATCATGAAAAGCACAGCATCGTTAGTCATTAGGGAAACAGAACTGAAACCATAATAAGAGATCACTTCAGACCCACTAGTGAGGTGATACGATGAGTAATAATAGCATAGTGTTGGTGAGGATGTGGCAAAATTGAAATCCTCATACACCACTGCTGGGAATGTAAAATGGGATAGCCACTTTGGTAAACAGTTTGGCAATTCCTCAAAAAGTTAAATACTGAGTTACCATTTGACCTAGCAAAAACACTCCTAAGAATACACTCAAGAGAAGTGAAAACATATCAGCCAAAAAAATCTGTGCATGAATGTTCACAGCATTATTCATTACAGCCCCAAACGGAAAACATCACATGTCCATCATAAATTAATAAAACCTGATATAGCCCTGCAATGAAATACAATTTGTCGATAGAATGAAACGGCATACTGACAGGCACGAGGATGTCGATGCTGAGTGAAAGAAGTCAGACATAAAAGGTCACAGGCTCTATGATTCCACTGATATAAAATTTCCAGAATAAACAAATCTGTAACAGTGGAAAGTAGATTTGTGACTGCCAGGGGCCAGAGGGTGGAGGAATGGGGAGTGAGTGCCAATGGACACAGGGCTTCCTTCTAGGGTGATTGAACTGGACAGTGGTGAGGGTCGTATAATGTAAATGTACTGAGAACCACTGAAAACTGTATTTTCAACTGATGAATTTTATGGTATGCGAATTCTATCTCAATAAAAATGCAATGGATTTGACAATAAGTCGATGAATTATTTTCCATTTATTTTCTCATGGTGTAGCTCAGAAGACCAGAGAGCTTACAGACAGAAGCATAGCTGGATGAAAGCCCCAGCATGGGGGATCCAGTGGGAAATGAGTCCTTCCCATCGTATCCATTCAGGGCTGAATGAAAAATGCTTGTTCCAGGGATCTGTGCGTGACACCGAAAATGCCACCCCCCCTGGGATGGATGCTATCTTGAGGCTATTCTGGATTCTCTCCTCGGGATATCAAGGCCATTTGAGAGGTAGGCATTCTCTCCCCAACCTGCTAGAGATGGCAGCTATGGAGGGTGGAGAGCTTGTAAAAGGGGAAGCCCAAGACCGTTAACTTGGGACTTGCTGGGGAGGGAGAACTAGCCAGGAAGACCTGACTGATGATGTCATCCCCACGTGAAAATGGCAGAGCGGAGTCAAGCCAAGAGAAGAGTGACCTTTACCATTGTGCTTCTGCAAAAATCCAATGACCTTTTCTAGCACGGTGGTTTTATCCATTTTCCGTGTGTTTCCAGGGAGCATGGAGCTAAGCTCTTTGATGAGAACATTGAACTGGTCCCGACGCTTCTTCTCAGACTTATTTCGAGAAGCTCTGCAAACACAAAAAGCACACAGGTTACCAGAACATTCTGCCTGGTAAAGGCTTTGTTATGAAACAGTACTTTCTTTCAGAGTGTGTTCTATCACGATTATCTTATTAGAAACACTTTCGGGGAAGTAAGGCTAGCCACATTTCAGAGCCGGGTAAGGAGGAGAGAAAACTCTGCTAGGTTCTTGGCCATAAGGACAGACAGTATTACTAATAAGGAAATGCTTTCTCTTTTTTCCCTTGTTTCATTCTTCAGTGAGTGAGAGAGACAGAAGAGTGGGCGAGGCACTCTCACAACAGGGTCCTCACACCCTGATCCACTCCCCACTCTCAAACAGCCAGGATCACGGGCACGCACATGCCCAGTTTGCTCAGGAAAGTGCCAGGACTAGAACCCAGGAGCTTTCCCACATGGGTCCAGTTGCATGACCACTGCACCACCACCTGGCCCCAGTCAGATCTAAAGTCTTCCACACTGCAGCTCCACTGCCAGATGCCGCTAGTTCTGACTTCATAGAGCTTTAACCCTCAGAGGGCAAATGACACAGTGTTAACCGACACAGCTGCAGCCCAGAGGAATCTGCTCTGAGTCCTTCCTTAGGCTTGAACCATGACCCCTCCAATCCAGGTACCCAGCCTGGCCTGAGTCATGAGGGGTGGCTCAGGGTCCTAACTCTGCCACCTTGGGCATATGGCCTGGTCCCTGCCCCCAAGAAGTAGATCCTGCTCTTGGGGAAATAAGGCTCACCTTCCACAGGACAGCCCGCAAGCCATGTGGACCCAGGGCCACACAGGACAGGTGCCACGCCTGGCTGTTGAGCTGCTAGGAGCAGCTGAACCCTTTTTATAATGACATGGAGGAAACGCAAATGCATATTAGGAAGTCAAAGAAGGCAGTCTGGGAAAGCTACATCCTGCATGATTCCAACCATATGACATTCTGGAAAAGGCAAAACCATGGAGACAGTAAAAAGATCAGTAGCTGCCAGAAGTTAGAGAGGGATGAACAGGCAGAGCACAGAGGACCTTTCGGGCAGCCGCGTATTTGCTATGACATGGCAATAGTGGCTCCACGGCAGGACACAGCTGTCCAACCCACTCGCTGTGCACCTCCGAGAGCTCGCCTCAGGGAAGCCGTGGACTCTGGGTGATAATGACGTGTCGGTGTAGGTCCATCCCTATGAACTAAATGCCACTCTGGTGGGAGTCGGTGATAACAGGGGAGGCTGTGTGTGAGGAGGGGGTGTGTACAGGAAATCTCCCCCTGCCAGTCACTTCTGCTGTGAATCCAAAACTGCTCTAAGAAGTACGTCTATTAAAAAAGAACGCCAGCTCACAGTCTGACCCTACAGAAGAGAGCAAAGGGGAACTAACTGTTCAGGTTGAGGGAGGGGACTGCCCTGAGCCACTGAGGTACCTCTGAGGAACCCCAGGACCCCGGGAACTTGCACAGGGAATCATGGCTCTAAGAGCCATACTAAGAGAAGACCCGACGAGGAGCACATGATGAGGAGGCCTCTCCTTTGGAAGTCCAGGAAGCAGCGCTGCCTGAGGGGCCTTGACCTTTTGTGACACATCACAGGCCCTTCACCAACAACCCACTAACTTAAAGGCTACCCAGGGCTGGGGAGCTGACTCCCCTTGCAAATTCGCCCACGATGAACTCATTCCAGAAAGCCAGAGAGAACAGGGTGGCTGTGGCAGAGGCCTTTGAATCCTGTCTGTCTGCTGCTCCAGGTACCCCAGGCCTTGGGGCAAGGTTCCTGGGGGAAGCCACTCACCCACCTGGAGGCTCCTGGCTGATGTGTGGTCAGGACAGAGGGCACTAGTGGGTTGCAATTCACCCCTCATGAGTAGGTATCAATATTTATAGATAGCTGTGTAAATAAAGACTGCACATCCAGGCAGCTCTTGGAAACAGAAAGACACATTCCACCATCCTGGATGGATGCCACGGTGGTCGTGACCCCACTTGCCTCTTCCTGACTCCACCCGCCAATCCCAGTGTCCACACACACATTTACAGCCCATCTCACACTGATTCTCTCTCCATTTGGGCTGCCTCCTGATAATCTCTGAGCAGTTCTTCAAAGTCCAGCTCAAGTGCATGGTTGCTAGCTTCAGCTAAGGGTCTTGCCCTTTTCCTGACATCTCCCTCCTTCCTGTCTCTCCTTGGAATGTGGATGAAGGGATTTCTGCAAAGACCTCATCCCTAGCCGAGCCACTGTCCTTGTAAGTTCACACTCACTTCACAGACTGACGGCAGGTATGGCAGGAAGACGCTGAGGTGTCTTGTGCTGGTCCAGGGTAAAAAGCAGTGTTCAAATGCGTGGGAGAGAAGAAAGGGCCCTTTAACTTCCTGAGCGACTGTCTATGCATTATAAATAATTTTTTGGCCTAGATTTTAAAGAGTGACATGCAGCTTCCTTAGCCAAAAAAAGCTCTGTTCCTGTCCTAGTTTGCCCATTATAAATTATTTGTGAGCCGATAACACCCAGCTCATTATTGCGCTGTTCTCGTCTTCAATGGGTGTAATGACAACGAACACGGCCTGGCAGAGGATCCGAGGAAGGCTCATATCATTAGTGACAGAAACACAAGCTCGTTTCCGTCAGCCTCCGCCTGGGACACACTGCAGGGCCCACTGGAAATCGGTCGGTGTCAGCTGGATCCGCAGTTCTGAGGCAAGAGGGCGAAAACGAATCTGGAATGACCTTATTTCCAGTAAAGAGGTCTGCTGTGCAGGTCCTGAGACCACCACTCACGGCACTGGCTGGGACAGCAGGTTGAAAGACACTTAAACAATCAGTGTTAAGGATTTAAAAAAAAAATTGCCAGAGGGTGAGTAAGGGAGGGAGAAGGCAGGAGAGGGGGAAACATGGGGGAGCGAGGGGGACAAGAAGGGGAGGGTGAGAGAGAGAGAAAGAGAACATCTCCCATAAGGAATGACCACATGACAATCCCTTCTCCATTTCTGCCTCTTCTTAGTATCTGGGGCATGCATGCACACATGCCCAGCGTGTTTTTTAAGCTACTGGGTCTGGAATTCAAACCACAGTTGGCCATGTGGGATCCGGCCACCTTAACCACCATGTCACCAGCTGGCCTAAACTTTTTTTTATAAGGCTTTATTTATGTGTCATAAAATCCATCCACTTTAAGTGTATGGTTCGGTGAATTTGGGTAATTGTGGAGCTACCACACCAAAACCAAGATAAACAATAGTTACCGCACCCAAAAGGTTTTCTCCGACATCTTCTGGTTGACCTCCTTGCTGACCCACAGCCATAGGCAAATGCGTCAGTGAGCAGTTCAACTTTGCCTTGTCTAGGATTTCACATACACGGGATTGTATAGTATACAGTACTGGACTTTGATTTAACTAAAGCTTTTGAGGTTCATTCATGTTATGCATATTTTTAAAAATTATTTCCTTTTGTTACTTTCTTTTTTTTAAAGACTTTTGCCACACGATATGTGTGTTTGCCAGAGAGAGGCAGAGAAAGGGAAAGTGAAAAATAATCCCCCTTCTCAGGGGATGGTCACGCCGCAATCCCTTCCCCTCCATTCTCCTCTTGAGACTTTGGGCACGCACGTACAAGCACCCAGCGTGATTTGAGCCACCAAGTCCAGGATCTGAATCATGTTTGGTCGTGTGGGAATCCAGTGCCTTAAGCACCATGCCACCTGCTGGCCCCCATGTTGAGTATATTATAATAATATAATTTTAACTGCCAACTAGTGTATCATGGTATTTGAGTTGCTTCCAGTTTGGGGATATTAAGAATAGAGCTAGTCTAAGTATTCATGCACTCGTTTTGGGATAGATACAGGCATCCATTCCTTCTGAATAATACACAGGCACAGAATTCTGGGTCATAAGCTAAACATGTGTTTAATATAAGACATTGCCACACTATTACATAAAGTTGGCAATACTGTTTTTTTGTTTTCATTTCTACAAGCAATTTCAGTTCCTGTAATACGTGACAATACTTGGTATTGTCTTCTTTACTTTAGCCATTGAAGTGTTATCTTACTGTGCTATGAATTCACATTTTTCTTTTTTTTCTTTTTTTTTTTTTTTTGAGAGAGATTTTCGCTATAGGGCGCATGCGCTCGCCAGACAGACAGAGAGAGACATAGAGACAGAAAGCGAGAAATCACCCCCCAGGGGGGATGGTCACGCCGCAATCCCTTCTCCTCCATTCTC